ACTTGGTTTGTAATAGCATTGGCAAATATATATAGCCAACATGTACTATTTAGATTTTTGTATGCAACACTTGATTGTTATAAACAAATATAAAACATATAATTTATTCCACTGATCTTTTCCAGGATATTTCAAACCAAACTTCCATCGTGGTAAAAAGAGGTGTTTGACTGCCACCAAGCATCTTGTTAAGACAACAAGTAAAACAACTGCTCTACATTTGTATCTGTTGCCAACAAATATCGCCCACACACCGTTGCCACCGTTGAGGAGCTTGTACTCCTCCAGGAAGGCATGGGAAGACAAACACTGACTCTTCCTGAAGATGGTGATCACACAGAGGTATAGTTTGTCAGTCCATTTGTTTGACTTATCATTAAAGTCAATTATGGGACGTTCAGGTCGCCTATATGTAGCGTAAGAGAGAAGGGAATACGCTCTATAGCGATAGAAGTTCCGCAGAGCGATGATCTCCTCATCTCTATATCTCTCGCTTCGCTCTCTCTCTCTCTTTCTTCCTCTCTCTCTCTCTCTCTCTCTCTCTCTCTCTCTCTCTCTCTCTCTCTCTCTCTCTCTCTCTCTCTCTCTCTCTCTCAAGATTTTAAGGCTCCTGGCTGACACATTTCCAAAAATGGAGGGTCTATGTGGAGGATGGCTCTTGCATAAGGCTACAGGTTTGTGGGATTTTGTTTTGTTGAGTTGTCATATTACTGTATTACTTGTTGGTGTGCATGAACCCTTCTGAGGTATTGATTACTTGTTGTAAGCATTAGAGGTGGCAGAATGACAAAACATGTTCTCTCTCTTTCTCTCAATGAAGGTGGCAGTGGTAGACGAAAGCTCACTGTCATTCCACCAGAAGCAGAGGGGTATTCTGTCAAAGCTCTGCGAGCTATGTCAGCAGGTGGCAAAGCCACTTTTTACATAGTACCACTTCAGGAGACATTGGACATCTCTCCACTGCCTGCTGACTCGCATTGCTTTGCAAAAATGCCAAAGAAGACATGTTTCCAATGTCATGAAGTGATGCCTTTGCACATGCTTGCAGTACACATTAGGACATGCAGTGGAAAACTGTCCTCTGATGAGACTGTTGATGAGGTGAGAGCAAATTGTTTTTGTTTTGGTAAATTGCCTTTAGAAAAAGACGAGGAAAATATCAATTGTTTATTGAAATAAATGACTTTTTTGTTAATCTGCAGTCCTCTGATGAATTGTGTATCATGGAGAACGCTTGCAAGGTAAAACAGCACACAACTAAACTGCACAATCACTTTAGTTCCCTTTGCACTAGTGTTTCAGCTGTTTGTAACATGGAGCATATTTCTTTAAAACTTTAGGTGGTGTGTCCAATTTGCACCAAAGAATTCCCAGATGATGAAATCACAGTCCATGCTAGCCTATGTGGAGAGAGGTGATCTGCCTTATTCTGCTCTTTGTATCATAAACATTATATTTTATAGATGTACCACCTGTAGAATGTCTACATATTCAGTGTTTTGTGTTTTAAACTGCATATTGTTTGTGCAGCTTTGAATGTATAGGGACTCCTGCAGCAGAGAACAATAGTCCAAGTACAGCTGCTCAACCTCCAGTATGCAATCCAAAAAGGTACGTTTTATTAAAATGACCTTTGCATGAGTTTATATCAAATACAGAATAAATGATGAGCACCATCACGCAATCCACATGCTTTAATGTTTCCCCCAAAAGCTAGCTCTCAAATTATTTTAACAGGCTATTCAAAACATAGCACATGGTGCACTAATCACGCCATTTGATAGCCCTTTCTTTCCCAAATATTGTTCAGCATAATAATAGGGCAGTTATATGGCAATAATGTATACAAAATGTTTGGAAAATTGGGATAATGTTATATTTTCTCTGTCCTCTTCCTTAAGCACGGAAGATGTATTGCGCTTACTTGAACACCAAGTTGACACCACAACAGAGTTTAAACTGTGTGTGGACAGAGAGGGCCTTCCAGACAGGGGCATTCTCCAGTGGAAACAGAAAAAAACTGCATCTCCTGCCAGTGCTCTTAAGGTGGTCTACATAGGAGAGGCAGGCATTGACACTGGAGCAATAAGGAAATAGTTTTTCACTGGTAAGTTCATGTAACTGTTTTGTTTTGATATTAAACAAAACCAAAGGATCATTGCTTATTTCCTTTTTTTCTGTAAGACATGGTTTCAGGTATTGAAAACAGATTCTTTGAAGGAGCTGGGAGCCAGGGGAAAAATCCTAAGTACTCTTTGACAGACCTTGATAATGACAACTTCAGGTTGGTAACATACTGTTTTTGTACACATTGTCATTTATGTAAGGAGTTTTTTTACAGACACTTTCTCTACCTTGCACACAGAACTATCGGTGAAATAATGTCAGTAAGCATCGCACAAGGTGGCCCACCTCCTGCCTTTCTGAAAGTGTGGTGCTACAACTTCCTCTGCACAGGAGAGGTGGACATTCATTCACTTTCAAAGGAGGATGTTTCTGATATAGAATCCGATCTTCTCATCAGCAAGGTGAGTACTCTGTTGAGCATTGTTAGATATGAATTAGATCTATGTTTTAACACCTATTGTAAATCTGTCCTTTATTCCAATGTTGCACATTCTCAGGTCGAAGATTCTGCAGATGAGCAGTCTCTGATGTTGTGGGCTGATGAAATTGTCAACTGTGGATATACAAGCCAGCTCAAACTGGACAATAAAGACAGCATCATTCGGTAAGTTGTATAATATTAATTTAAAAATGTTTATTTTTCAAACCAGTGTTAAATGTCTTTCTGCTTTTCTTCAAAGAGCAATTGTCTTACATTCCACAACAAGACTGATTCCAATGCTGCAGCAACTCAGAAAGGGCATGGAGCTGTATGTGGTAGTGCTGTAGCGACGCGTCGACATCGTCGAAAATATACTTCAAAATATCGTCGACGACATATTTCCGCGTCGACGCGTCGCTACACACACGTGGGTCACCCAAAGCAACAAGCAGTTCGCAATCGCACTTCAAACACAATGGAGACTGAAACGGCTACCACCTCCTCCTCACAGGATTGCGCACGAAGCCCCCAAACGAAAACATCTCGCCCGAGGTCTTCAAAAGCATGGGAATATTTTAAAGTTAGTCCAAAACGCAAATATATTTATATATTTATATCTCACTGAGACTGCTGCATAGCCTAGCAGAAGCAGCAGCTAGCTGTGGTGGCTACCATTAGCAGCTAGCATTTGCTCTCCGATTTTTACATAAAAATGGAATTATGGATTATAAATTCAATCATTTTTTTATACATAGACGTTAAAAACCTATGGATTAACCGATTCAGCCGCGTTTTTTCTCATTTTAATGCCATTGAACACGTCTTTTGATCAGATTGACAGCTACGGTGGTGAGACGATCTCCCTAGAAGCTCTGTGAAGGTACGTGTTGTGATGACTGTATTTGCTTCCCCTGTCGCGAGTCCGGATCACTCAGTGATGTTACTATATACCTACATAATATGTGGAGTCTCAGCTTTAATCGGATATATTGTATGTGCAGCTACGATAAGTAATAAGGGTACTTTTATCTTGAGTTCTGTGCCAATGTCCGTTAGCATTTTTCGCTCAGGGGTCATTTAGATGCTTCTTATGAGACTTGTTTTGTTTTGGTAAACATGGTTTGTATCGTCAATTAGCTGAGATTATTTCCGTTAATCTGGTATAACACATTAATAGGTTCTTAAATATTAAGATCCCCTGAGACACAGTATCGTGAAAAAAAATAATTTACATTACGTTTTTTTTACATTACGTTTTTTATGAATTGAACAACAGAAAAATAATCGTTAGATTAGTCGACTAATCGATCAAATAATCGCCCGATTAATCGTTTTCAAAATAATCGTTTCCCCCCAGCACTAGTATGTGGATCAGATCAGATGGCTAGAAACCCTGAAGCTTGTCACTCCTTATTTGTTCCAGGGAAGATCACCAAAGTAATAATTTTAACTGCCACTATTTATTTATTTTTAGACTCTATTCTTCTTTTGTATTGTACTTTTCATTCTGTATTGCCTTAATAGCTTTGGTTTGAACACTTACAAGATATTAAACTACATCTGCATTCACTCTCTTTATAGCCAGATGCAGATTTCATCATGATGAACTGCCAGCCACGTTTTAGCGAAAAAGGGACGTCTAAGGAGAGAACTGAGAGGAAGGTGATCAACTTCCTGCAAGATTTCTTGCAGGAAGTTGAAATGTCAGGTATGATATACTGTAGAATGCAGTACACATATGAATGAATGCTTTACTGATTTTAATGTACTGAGCACATACCTAATAAATGTTCTTGGATATTTGCTTTTCTTAAATTTGTGTTATTTAAAATATACATCCGTCACAGATGGGGAGACAGACAGTGCAGCTGGTGACAAGGAGCCTCTTGCAGTGCCACACGTGCTCCAGTGGATGACGGGGCAGGCCCACATCCCCATCCTCCCTGATGAAAAGAGACATTTCAAAATAACATGCAAATTTGACCATGACTGCAGGAGCGGCTAGGAGATCACTTAATTTGTTACCCAATTGTGAGTGCGTGCACTAAAACGGTGACTTTTCCAGTAAAGCATCTCAGCACTTACACTGACTTTAGACGAATCATGGGTGAAGCAGTGAGATATGGTGGTGGATTCCAGAGTTTAAAACAACTAGCTCTGTACTAGCTGTGTACTTCTGTTCAGTTATAAGTTTGTGTTTGAAAAGTGTTCCCCCTCCCGTTATGTCTGTTGCTGATTGTGTGCACCTGGTGCCCTATGTTGTCTCCTCCCCCCCTCACCTGTGTCTTGTTGTGCTGATTAGAGTGTGTGTATTTAGGCTCTGTTTCCCTGTCTGTTGAGAAGGCTGGTAGTGTTTGGGAGATCCTTGTGGCTGCAGGATGTGTGCAAGGAGAACAGCAGGATTGAGGCTGTGAACTTTGTGCCCAGGATGTCAATAAATGCCCACGTCGGGTTACATTTTTGGACGTTCTGCCTCTGCCTCCTTGCTTGGTCATGCTTTTATTAGTTGGGAAAGCATACATTGTTACAACGTTTTTTAACAAAACATCAGACAAGCAGAAAGGCAAATAAGGAGCAATGGTTTGGCTCTGTGTATTCTCAACAGATATGTTAACCAAGGTTGTTGTAATCAGCTAATGTGTGAGTTTACAAGTTCACGTTCAATTGTCATTGTACACACTGTGCAAGAATCGTGTGTACAAGTCACGGCCATGTGACTGAGAATGTTCCAGAGGATCAACAGTTCTCTGAAGTTCTTCTAGGTCTTCGTCATCCAGGGGGCACACAACTTCAGGAACCACAACTGCCCCGTTCGAGTCTTCTTGCAGTATGGTACTCTCCCAGTTGATGCCTGGGTCTTGAAGTTCCTAAGGATCCAGGAAAACCATTAAAATAAGTTTAGTACATGAAGTATTTTCATACGCTTATGTAACGTGTGATTTTAAAAATAAACATGTTACATAAAGGTTGTATTATTCTAGAAATACTATTTATTGAACAGATTGCTGTTTCCAATAATGTTATACATCTGTCAGATCTGACTCTCATCACTCAATGCAACAGAACTGTAAGGTTTGTAGATGGAAACAATTGAATTACAGCATATCTATGCACAATTGAAGACAGAAGCTCACATTGATTCATGTCTATTATGTCTCAAAACTATATATATCTGCCTGCCACACACCTTTGCAACTCAATTGTTTTTTAAAATATATTTAATGGGAACTCTATAACTGTTACCTCAAGTCTCTCCCCTTCGTCTAGATCTTGTAGATGTCCCATACACCACAGATGTTCAGGAGTGAGACCTCCCTCTGTCCTTAGAGGATGATTATTCCATCCTTGGATAAAGGCGTCAAGGTCTGCTCGAAGTCGAGGGACAAAGATGTAGTGCACACCAAAGAGGTGAACCACATCAGAGATATCAAGCAGACCATCTTCCTCCAGAGAGTGAAGAACATCATGGTACTTGCTGCTGACTGCAACCCAGACGTCACGCCAAAGTCGCTCTATCCTAGAATTACATTTTAATTGATTTACTTGGATTTATACAGCTATTTGTGCTTTCATTGAACAACCAAACTGCTACAGTTACTAATAATTATACAGTCAACATTTCAAGACATAAAAACACAACTAACCTCTGATTGTGGACACTCTTTCCAGAGATAAAGCTGGCTCTTCCTGTGCCCCGTGTGGCAAACATGTATTGTGTGATGTCCACGTTTTCGACTCCCTGATCCGCCCTTACCCTAAGATCAAAATACATTTTAATAATAAATAATTGAATAATTAATTTAACAAGGTTTACTTTAACTTCAGTAGATGAAATGAAAGATATTGTTTCTAGTATATTAGTGTAATCAATTAGTTTAAAAAAAACGTAAAAAAACATCCACTTGATGGTAAGCCATGAAGCTGGGTTGATCTCAGGAAGAATGAGTATGCAGTTGATGCTCTGTTATTTGTTGCAGCATCCAAGTACATGATCTGCATAGAAACCAGATGAAATAGTTGACATCTACTTGCAGCTATGGCTAGCCTTAGAGCTTTGAGTGTTGTATTATACAATAAAAGAAAGATAGGCACGTCCTACATCTTTACACATAGTGTTTCAACAGAACCATCAACAGGATTTGGTATTTCAATTATTATATAGGTAATTTTCAAAAATATCAACTTGGTAGGCCTATATTTTACATACTAAAATGCAGCTTGATTTATTACAGCTTACTCAGATATATTTTCTTTAAGGCAATACATTATTGCTCCCTTAAGATGCTTTGTATTAAAAAAGTATAACCAGATTGGATAATAATAATTGGATCTAAACAGGAATCATTACCTTCTAGCTAAATAATTATTCCAAGGAGCAGGAGAAAAAATATACACTTTTTGATCAAACTAACGATAAGAACTACATGTCTTAAGCAGCAGATTATGATTGCATGCATAGGTCAGCTATGTCGCTTCATACAATATGCATTTTAAGCTCTAATTATACAAAACAAAAAACAATCTATATCAAGCTAATAATATTGATGATTCCCCCCCTAGACATGTTTTAAGATGTGTATAACATAATCTATAAATATGCAAATAAGTGTTATTTCAGAAGTATAACTGCTGGTCACAAGAGGCTTTGTACTTTAAGCTGCATTTCTTTAACAATAATAAGCAAGAACACATTAATTACCTTCCTTGAGTAGCCATCCACTCCACCAAAGATCACAATATTGTACCTGTTCAAAAGGGAAAAAGGTTACTATATAACTAAGGTTGTTCTTATTATATACTCCCAACATTCACTGTGTAGGTAATTGCATAAACAAACAGGATATTTTACTCTACCTTATCAGTTTATGATTTGTGTCAATGTGGACCAGGGAGAGAGGGCCTCGCACGGAATAACTTCTTCGCACAACACACCCTAGTTCTGTGATCCGTCTGAAGATCCCAGCAGCATCAACCCGATGCATAGAGGCCATCATTCTCCACCACTGAACACGGAGGCCCATTGAAACCAAATGGCCTTGAACCATTCGATAACCAGCATTTGGCATCTGACTTTTAATACCTAAAATTACGTTGTCAAGTTCTTGGTCAGTCATTGTGCTGTATGATCCTCTTATAGACAAGCCAAATTCTTGCATTCTCCTGTAAATCGTTCTTCTTGAAACGCAGAGGCATTTTGCAATGCAGGAGACTGGCAGATGTGTGTTCAGCAAATGTGTTAGTTTTTCTCTCTCTATCACAATTTTGGGTTGACCAGAACCTGGACCAACTTCTGTTTCCTGTTCTACAATGGGCATAGAGCTTGCGTTAATTTCCAACCGGACAACATGATGTAGGTTTCGTATTGCTTCTGTAATCTCTGATACACCTCCTATCTGCTCATGGAACGATTCAAACATAATCAGCTCATGAACTCCAAATAATCCACATTTAGTGGTTGCTGGTTCAAGGCTGATTGCAGTTTGGTGAGAAGTCTTTCCATCAACTGCTGTCTCAATATGTCCTGTTGGACAGACAGAGCTCAGATTAGTTAAGAAGAGGGACTCGTTGTTAGTCATATAGGTGACTGATAACGAGCTATGAGATGTGGAAGCTAGTAATAACGTTACATTTACCCCTTATATAATATCAAATAATAATTAGTTTGACAAAGTTTATCCATAAAACAAGCTAAATTATCTCCTCAAAATTACATCTACTCCTCCCTCCTTAAAAATGTCAGCCATAGCCAATGAGATGTTGCACACTGCCTAAAACATCAACAACACATTAAAATTATCAGAGATCATTGTACTTTGGGTTTGTATGTGTAGTTGATCAATTAGATTTTATATGTAACCGATATATCGCCAAAGTTCCTTTTTCAGGCTTTAACTTTATACTACAGCGTTATTCAAACATTAAATTAGATAGCATTAGCAACCTACCAAGATAGCTAGTTCACAAGCTAATAATGTACAGACAGACGTACAAACTGAATTTCATAAAGGTTCATAAGACACAGTATACAACCAAATCAAAAACTACTTACATGTGGCCTTGCTGTGACATTTTGTTGCTGTTCATTCGACATGGTCGGATGTTGTGCCAGCTGGGATTGCTAGAGAAGGATGAGTCAAACTTTCGTTACTCACACAACAGCCGATGTCTCAAGATAAGAAGACATATAATGTTAATCCTACAGCCCTATAATACAGAAAAATAAAAAGCATTTCTGAAATTTGAGTCAATAATTACAAGAACAAATCTACTACAATCAGTCATCTTTTTATTTTTTTCATAAAGCTTCCACAATTCTTTATCTAGCGATCTAATTGTAGCGATCACAATCAATTCAGGATGTAACATTAACATGTCATGATCATATTTCCAGTTGAAATCCCAACAATTCGACATGATACTAGCTCCAATATTAGGCTACGGTTTGTTAGCTGTTTGCTTAAACTACCCATATAGCCTAGCTATGTTGCCGGCTAGCAAACTCACCCTTATCTGAAACGATCGGATAAAAGTTTTCGTCAAAGGTATTGCAAACAATAACGTGATATCAGAAAACTAGAAATGTATAACTCACCTGACACTGTGGCGTAGTAATCTCTTCGTTTGAGTCTGTCATGTCCTGTAAATGTTAACGATAATATGAACGTCAACAGCCTGATGGCAACCGAACATTTCTCTCTTCTCCTATCTCAGATAGAAGATATGATTGGAGACGGCCAGCCAATCAGAATTGACCTTCTCGAGTTCTCCGATTGGTTGGTTTTGTGGCACATTTGTAACGCTGTGACAACTTGAGCGAGCGCAGGCAAAGCTGAGCGCGCGCGCAGGCTGGAGAGGTCGAGCGAGCGGGGGAGAGAGAGCGCGTGCAGCGGTCTGCTTGCGCACGGAGCAGGAGTTTTATGAGAGAACATATATTTCTCTGTGCTCAAAACTGTTCAAGTGCGCGCTCAATCGCATTTTCTATGCTCAACATGTTTCATTGCGTGCTCAGGATAGAGGCACAAATATAACGTCATAACAGAGCCCCTCCCACACGAACGCGCACATGACCAATGAGGGCACAAGATAAGTTTGTGCACAGATGGAAGGCTGACAGGCAGGTAGGCCATCCAGTTATTTTAGCCAGGCCGGCTAAAATGATTGGTCGTGCTTTTTACAGCGCTACGGCTTCCACAGATGAAATGTTTTTATGTATTTATTGTCAAAGCATTTAATATATTTATTGCTATCGGGATGTTAAGAGCATTCCATGGAATATAACAAAAAGTGTTTCTGAAATAAATTACATACCCCACCTTTAATTGTGTCTTTTTTATTGCACTTTGGCAGCAGATTCCTGTGTAGCTTCAGATCTGAGTTGTCTTATTAGTAAGCCTAATTTATACTTTAGTAGCAACACTATTTTTATATAATGGCAAAGAAAGGGTTCAGAGTCTTTTCTTTTTTCCCTGTGTCATATGTGGCAGCACTGTTCAATGTTTCTTGAAAACATTACCCACTGTAGTGACGTGTGAATAAACTCCAACTCTGTATCAACAACACTGTTGTGTAACTTCAGTTAAATACTTGTATGTGTGCAGATTAGAAAGAGGTAAGATAAAGGAGCTGCAGTATTTTATGAAGTATTAATCGTACGAAGGTCAGTTTTATACAAGTAGACGTGTGTATTTACCTGGTAGGCTGTCAGTAATGGCTACGCCTCTCTATTTGGACTGGTAGATCTCGGCAGACTGGCAACTTTAAAAGTAGGCAAGGCAAGGCAAAAAAGGTTGGGCAACCCTGATCTACCTGAAATTGTAGGGACAGTTTTTTTCTACTCAATGATAGAGACCATTGTTGAGGAGATGCAAAACATACTGTAGCGACCCTGTATAGGGTGCTGAGTGTGTCACTCAAGCATCCCCCGTCTCTCTGCCAATCACAGAGCTGCACAGTGATGCTGGTCGGGGTGCGGGCCTGTGGTTGGGGGAGCAGAGGGGGGAGGGCGGGGAAGTTGTGACGTTGACCCTGCTATATGTGTGTGAGTTGGGGTGTAGAGTTCAGTGTGAGGATGAACCTGCAACCTGTAACCTGTGAACGTGAGAACAAAGGAGTTATTAAACCCCAATAACTTGAAGCCTGTTTCCGACTCCCTTTGTCGAACGCTACAATACTGTAAATGACTTGGGTCCGACATATACTTTGAGTAATGTTACTTTGCTGCTAAAAAATGAAACATTATCAGATGAGGACATCACCAAAGTGTGATGTCTGTCAGGGGATTTGATCTGTTCTCTGCATGTTGTACGTGTACACACTGCTCTGGTATGAATACAAAATATAATTGTAAAATGTAAGTCTCCTGCTCTTGTCATCGTTCATCGTTCATTTGAACTCCTATGACTGGTTGCGGTTGAAGGGAACGACTTCCTGACCTTCCTGACATCGGGTGAGATTCTAATCCATTTCAATGCCAAAAGCAAGTTGTTGTTTTTAACTTTTTTAATATGATTTTTTTGGGGAATTTCAGTTTTATTGGATAGTAGAGATCTACTGGAACCTAACACCAGAGAGAAGAGGGAGGAGATGATATGCAACAAAAGGCCCAGCCGGATGGTTGCTGCTCCGTGTGGAACGTGTTCTATCAGGTAAAGCACTTTGGTACCCAGTTCAATCAGGAGAGACGGTTTTGAGTGATGCATATTTATTGCACGGATGAACAAATGAATGTAGTGGTAATTTTGGCGATTTAGGCCCCGTTGTGCAGGAAGTATCATTCGGGAGGGTAGAACCGATCCGATGAAACCCCCCTGGGGTCTAGACATTGGTGGTGGTGAATGGATAGTTGGGGTCGGTCTGAAGAGGAGTGGTTTAGCTTGAACCTGGATTCAGAGGGACGGGAGGAGAAAAGGGGGTGGAGGAGGGTTGTGTCGAGTCACCTGAAATAACAGCTGTCAGCTGTCAGCTGTCAGCTGGGAAAGAGCAGATTAAAAAGGTTTGATAGAGCGCTATGATAGGCTCTTGGAAATAGAGCGAAGTGATTGGTTAGACTGAAGAGTGAGGCCCCCTGTCACTTATTGAGAGGAGAGAGAGTAATAACGTATTCATGAATGAGAAAGACGGTCTTCCTGGTTGAACTTGCGCTAAGCTTCATTTCAATCAGGAGAGACGGTTTTGAGTGATGCATATGTATTGCACGGATGAACAAATGAATGTAGTGGTAATTTTGGCGATTTAGGCCCCGTTGTGCAGGAAGTATCATTCGGGAGGGTAAAACCGATCCGATGAAACCCCCCAAAAAGAAATAGTATTAAGAAATTAAATGTACAGGTTTCTTACCATGTGGGCTGGATGCAGATATCTATGGGAAATGATGAGAGTTATACAGGGGGAGACACATGAATGTATAAGAAGCTGCAGTGCCTAAAATGCATGTAGGGGTTTTACAGGGAAAGGAGACTCGACGTGCATGACATGGGATGCACCGGGGTTTTTAACAGGGAAGGAGACTCGACGTGCGTGACATGGGATGCACCGGGGTTTTTAACAGGGAAGGAGACTCGACGTGCGTGACATGGGATGCACCGGGGTTTTTAACGGGGAAGGAGACTCGACGTGCATGGCATGGGATGCACCGGGGTTTTTAACAGGGAAGGAGACTCGACGTGCATGACATGGGATGCACCGGGGTTTTTAACAGGGAAGGAGACTCGGCATGCATGACATGGGATACACCGGGGTTTTTAGCGGGGAAGGAGACTCGGCGTGCATGACATGGGATGCACCGGGGTTTTTAACAGGGAAGGAGACTCGGCATGCATGACATGGGATGCACCGGGGTATTTAGCGGGGAAGGAGACTCGGCGTGCATGACGTGGGATGCACCGGGGTTTTTAACGGGAAAGGAGACTCGGCATGCATGACATGGGATGCACCGGGGTTTTTAACAGGGAAGGAGACTCGGCATGCATGACATGGGATGCACCGGGGTTTTTAACGGGAAAGGAGACTCGGCATGCATGACATGGAATGCACCGGGGGTTTAACAGGGAAGGAGATGATGACATGAATAGGATTGAAATGCACATGATTGTGAGCATGGTTATACGACATGAAATGTCACGCATGTTTATGAACATAGCCAGCATGTGTAGTTCTGGGGGGGGCGTTCGATTCCAGTTTTGGATAGTCTGGCGTGGTTTCGTTCCATTTCACACAGCTGTTTGACGCTCTGCGTAACCTTACGGGACTGTAGTCCTAAACGATAGCTGGGGATTATGGGTAGTGTAGTGTCTTCGGCCATCCTAAACTCAGAAATGTTGACAATCGCAATGATGCTCGAAATGTCCCTTATAGGCCTACGTCTGTTTCCGGTTATTTTTATTTTGAAATTCAGTTCCTGACGGACGCCAAAAAAGCCAGAGATTATGGAATTAAACCAATAAATAAAAGCAAGGATAATTGTGTGTTATTGGTGAGTAAATAACAGTGTGTTATTTTGAAAAGAATAACAAATTAGAAGGAAAAAAAGATTTAAAAAATACAGATTTCAGTATCCTGAGGCTCTGAGCCCCATTTATTTTCCTCACAGACGGCAACAAAAGTCAGAAATTATACGATTCAAAATAAAAGCAATAACTGTGGCTTGATATTGAGTAAGGACATGTTTTTATGAACCACACAGCTTCCGGTCTCCCACGACCCGACCGAAGAAAAAGACGTGCTGCAGGCAGTAGAAATACATTGCTTTTAAAATCGTGCTGTGCAACATGAAAAAAAGGGGCAAATCGTGTTGGTGAACACGAATCAATAGATTAAAAATCGTGTTGGTGAACACGAAATGCCGTGAGACTGGGTTGAACGAGAGGGAAGCTGTGGAGAATTCGCCGGGCCTAAGGAAAGCGTAAAAAGCTAAAAGAAATAGTGCATCGAGTAGTGAGTCTATATATGGAGAAAATATCCCTTCTCTAAGTTTAGAAAGCATGAGGCGCAGTATGGAGAGGGTAATGGGTCGTCTGCAGTCTGGAGCAGGAGGAGAAGCTTTAGTTAGTCCTTTGAAAATGAGTTTGACTGCCTGGTTAGAGAATAAACTAGGAAAACTGAGATCATAGCAACGAACGTTAAACTGGACCCCGGCTACCAAGCCCCGAATATATTGGGGTTTAAGGTGCCGGTCGGTGAAGCAGTAGCTCATGAAGGCACACACGGTGTTGTTGAGAGCTTCATAGTATGTTGAATACTTAAAACGAAAGTTAGTTATAATCAATTATATTCTTGTATAACCCACAATGAAAATGCTTCATATTTTAGGTTTTTCTATATTTGCAGTAAAAAACAAAGTGGTTTGTTTAAGTTGAGTGTGTAAGGTCTATGATTTATGGGTGTCACTGATAAGGAAGAGGGAAGTTTCTTCCCCTTTTTTCTCACAGCAGTACACAGGGAGGGGGGCTCCTGCCTTAAGGAGAAATACATTGAGGCCTCAAAAAGGTGCTTATGTCATAGCCATAGAATATGTCTGGTCATGTCTTTTTTTTTACACAAACATGGGAAGGTGTGTCTTATGCCATAGCCAATAGAATATGTCCAGTCTTGTACATCAGTGGCCATGCCCAGTTTGTTTCATTGGTTGGGAATAGAGGAGGTTTTTTTTGGGGTTTCGATCCGGTTTTTTTAGCATAAAGAGACTGGCTTTTTGGAGAGAGCGCGAGAGAGAGGGGGTTTCCCCCTGGTATACTCTCTCCCGGTGGGCTCTGGCCCTCAGAGCTGGGTAAATAGCTCTCGGTAAGGTAGCCCTGCCTGGAAGACGTTATGATACGTACAGGATCTTAGAGTTAGTGATTTTAGTTAGCCCTGCCTGGAAGACGTTATGATACGTACAGGATCTTAGAGTTAGTGATTTTAGTTAGCCCTGCCTGGAAGACGTTATGATACGTACAGGATCTTAGAGTTAGTGATTTTAGTTAGCCCTGCCTGGAAGACGTTATGATACGTACAGGATCCTAGAGTTAATGATTTTAGTTAGCCCTGCCTGGAAGACGTTATTATTAGGGCTGTCAGTCGATTAAAATATTTAATCGCGATTAATCGCATGATTGTCCATAGTTAATTGTGATTAATCGCAAATGAATCGCACATATTTTATCTGTTCTAAATGTACCTTAGAGGAATATTTTTCAAGTTTTTAATACTCTTATCAACATATGAGTGGACAAATATGCTTTATGCAAATGTTTATTATCATTTGAACAATGACAAATATTCTCATGAATATTAAACACAACATACTCTGAACATTACAAATATTCGCCTCAATTCAACCTGGAACCTCTCTCATGCAATAATACAATACAAATGGTGTGTGTGTGTGTGTGTGTGTGTGTGTGTGTGTGTGTGTGTGTGTGTGTGTGTGTGTGTGTGTGTGTGTGTGTGTGTGTGTGTGTGTGTGTGTGTGTGTGTGTGTGTGTGTGTGTGTGTGTGTGTGTGTGTGTGTGTGTGTGTGTGTGTGTTCGTGTTCGTTGGAGCTATGCAACTCAAGGCATATGCTCGAACGGGAGCTGCCTGGACGCTGCAATCATGTTACGCGCACTATCCGTGCTGAGTGTGCTGACTTTTCGTACAATGTCCCACTGTCTGGCTACCTGCATAAAGTCAAGTGAGTTGTGGAGAAATGTCGCTCCTCTGTTTTCATTTAAACAGCTCCTTATATCCGTTAGCGCAGCTAGCTAGCACCAGATGCTAACAACAACAATACACGTAAGGTCTCTCTCTCTCTCTCGCCACACATACACACACCCTACCGGTCCTCCCGATAGCCAGTCGGTGCCTGCCGGTGAGCGTGGAAGTGTGGTCTGCCGCAAGCAGGCAGCAGGAGTGGGGCTGTCAGCATCAGCTTGTAGATGGTATTTTAAACTCGATGCGCTCTGAAACTACGGGGCGGCCGAGGAAAAAATACACATGCGTTAATCGCGTTAAAATAATTAGTGGCGTTAAAAAAAAATTGCGTTAACGCGTTATTAACGCGTTAACTTGACAGCCCTAGTTATTATACGTACAGGATCTTAGAGTTAATGATTTTAGTTAGCCCTGCCTGGAGGACGTTATGATACGTACAGGATCTTAGAGTTAATGATTTTAGTTAGCCCTGCCTGGAGGAAGTTATGATACGTACAGGATCTTAGAGTTAATGATTTTAGTTAGCCCTGCCTGGAAGACGTTATGATACGTACAGGATCTTAGAGTTAATGATTTTAGTTAGCCCTGCCTGGAGGACGTTATGATACGTACAGGATCTTAGAGTTAGTGATTTTAGTTAGCCCTGCCTGGAAGACGTTGTGATACATAAAGGATCTTAGTGTTAATGATTTTAGTTAGCCCTGCCTGGAAGACGTTATGATACGTACAGGATCTTAGAGTTAGTGATTTTAGTTAGCCCTGCCTGGAAGACGTTATGATACGTACAGGATCTTAGAGTTAGTGATTTTAGTTAGCCCTGCCTGGAAGACGTTATGATACGTACAGGATCTTAGAGTTAGTGATTTTAGTTAGCCCTGCCTGGAAGACGTTATTATTAGGGCTGTCAGTCGATTAAAATATTTAATCGCGATTAATCGCATGATTGTCCATAGTTAATCGCGATTAATCACAAATTAATCGCACCTTTTTTATCTGTTCTAAATGTACCTTAGAGGAATATTTTTCAAGTTTTTAATACTCTTATCAACATATGAGTGGACAAATATGCTTTATGCTAATGTTTATTATCATTTGAACAATGACAAATATTCTCATGAATATTAAACACAACAACCTCTGAACATTACAAATATTCGCCTCAATTCAACCTGGAACCTCTGTCATTCAATAATACAATACAAATGGTGTGTGTGTGTGTGTGTGTGTGTGTGTGTGTGTGTGTGTGTGTGTGTGTGTGTGTGTGTGTGTGTGTGTGTGTGTGTGTGTGTGTGTGTGTGTGTGTGTGTGTGTGTGTGTGTGTGTGTGTGTGTGTGTGTGTGTGTGTGTGTGTGTGTGTGTGTGTGTGTGTGTGTGTGTGTGTGTGTGTGTGTGATAGATCGTTGGAGCTATGTGCAACTCAAGGCATTTGCTCGAACGGGAGCTGCCTGGACGCTGCAATCATGTTGCGCGCACTATCCGTGCTGAGTGTGCTGACTTTTCGTACAATGTCCCACTGTCTGGCTTCCTGCATAAAGTCAAGTGCTCGGCGCAGTTGTGGCGAAATGTCGCTCCTCTGTTTTAATTTAAACAGCTCCATATCCGTTAGCGCAGCTAGCTAGCACCAGATGCTAACAACAACAATGCACGTAAGGTCTCTCTCTCGCTCGCTCGGGCCACACATACACACATCCTCCAGGTCCTCCAGATGGCCAGTCGGTGCCTGCCGGTGAGCGTGGAAGTGTGGTCTGCCACAAGCGGGCGGCAGGAGCGGGGCTGTCAGCATCAGCTTGTAGATGGTATTTTAAACTTGATGTGCTCTGAAACTACGGGGCGGCTGAGGACAAAAAATACACATGCGTTAATCGCGTTAAAATAATTAGTGGCGTTAATTTTTTTTTGCGTTAACGCGTTATTAACGCGTTAACTTGACAGCCCTAGTTATTATACGTACAGGATCTTAGAGTTAGTGATTTTAGTTAGCCCTGCCTGGAAGACGTTATGATACGTACAGGATCTTAGAGTTAATGATTTTAGTTTGCCCTGCCTGGAAAGACGTTATTATACGTACAGGATCTACATGATTAAATGTATCAGGATTTTAGATCTAATTAGAAAACCTACGCCATCACAAGGAAATTCCTTTTGAATTTCGTCGGAAGACTTTAATGGGAGAAATATGAATTAAGGTTTTAGATAAAAATATAACCCCAGCATGATATGTTTCGTATGACTATAATGTGTTAAAGAGAGAAGGTAAAAACCCTGTATTAGTTTGGACCTATTTTTCTTCAAATAAACTGATCCCACCCGTTTGGACTGGGACAACTTAAAAGACATCTGTGCTCTCCTCTCCTGCTTCAAAGGTAAGAGTGCACCCTGCCACACTCATGTTTAGGTAGGACCACACCTCATTCACTGATACCAAAATCCTTCGGGATCCCTTAAACAGATTAAAAAGAGTTGTCTGAATAGAACCAGCAGTTAATTGAACCTGGTTCTTCGGGGAGTTAATAGAGGTGAGATTTTGCTGACCTTGGTGGATCTGAGCCAAGCAGTAAACTTACATAGACTCAATAACTTCGGTCAGGTCAATTAGTAGGTCAGAATAATTTACCGGAATAAATTATCAGGACCTCACCAACTCTAAACAGTGTGGATGAGAACAGGTTTGAGGGGGATGCCTAGCGAAAAGCAAAACATGGCGAAGGTTCTCTAGGCGAAATCATAGGTTTTGAGAGTGGAAGCGGCTAAGCCATTCCTCATGAATAACCTGGCGGACTCGAGGTGCCTAACTAAGGGGCTCGTGCTTAGAAGAGGGAGAGGAGATGTAGAGGGGGAATCCCGACTGGTTGCGGCCTGGCTTCTGGGCAGAGGTTCCGGAATGTCTGAAAGTGAAAGCGAGAGAGGGAGTCAGCGATTACGTTGAGGTGGCCGGGAACGTGACGGGCTGAGATTATGAAGTTGTGGGTGATGGAGAACCACGTGATGCTTCTCATGAATGGCATGATATCGGGGCATGGAGAGCGCGCTTTATTAATGATCCCGACTACTGCTTGGTTATCGCATAACACTGATATGTGTTTCCGGAGCCAGAGGTGGCCCCACACGTAGCAAGCTACTGCGATTGGGTAATCCAATCCAATCCAATCCACTTTATTTATATAGCACAGTTTAAAAACAGAGGGTTTGCCAAAGTGCTTCACAATGAACATAACATTATAATATAATAACTGGATTTAACCACAGAGTTTATCTGTTTATCTAATTTAAAAGCACTGTCGATTTTGACACCCAGATTTGTGATCATGGGTTTTGCAAACTGTTGCAGGGAACCCAGGTCAATGGAAGGGACATCACCATTTGGTCCAAACACAATTACCTCCGTTTTGCTCTCATTTATATTTAAAAAGTTTAGCGCCATCCAGGCCTTTATGTCATTAAGACAGTCAACCAGGGGCATCAGAGAGCTAGTGTTTTTTCTTAGGGTTAGATATAATTGGGAGTCGTCCGCATAAAGGTGGTAGGAGACGCCATATTTTCTAAAAATCAGTCCAAGGGGGAGAAGGTATAAGGAAAATACCTCATACCTCAGTAGATCTCATGCAGGGCGGAGGATGTGGCATGATTAGGGAAGGAGAGGGGCCAGGGACCTGCGAACCACTCTCCCTGAAAGAAACCCCCAAAACCAGCGGATGGGGCGGCATCCGTGAAAAGCCTCATTGAGTCTGAGGAGTGTACTATGTCATTGTAGAAGAAGGTGACGCCGTTCCATTGGTCGAGCAGAAGGGACCAGAAGCGCAGGTCTGAGCGGCATACTTCGTCTAGAGGGACATGATCATGGAGGTTTTTAACGGCTGATGCTGCGTCCAGGAGGCGGGAGATGAATGAGCGTGGATGACTCGCATAGCGAAATTGAGGTGCCCGAGGAGGGAGAGCAGCTGCTGTTTAGTAATGATGTGTTGGGCGCAATAGGACTTGGTGATGTCGCGTATGCGCTGCAGTTTGTTATTTGGGAGAGACGCTTTCATCTCTATGGAGTTGAGTGTGATGCCCAGAAACTCCAGACTTGTGTCGGGGCCTATGGTTTTCTCCTGGGATAGGGGGACGCCTAGCTCCTGGAAACAGTTTTTCAATTTAAACAATGAAGCGCCTGAGTTATCCCGTGGGGGGTCTATGAGAAGGAAATCATCCAGCAGCTGAAGGACGGATGGGATTCTGACAACGTTCAGCAGGATCCAGCAGAGTGCCTCGGAGAAGGAATTGAAGATGCATGGGCTGCTCCTGCACCCGAAAGTGAGGCGGACGGCGAAGTAGAGCTTGGACTCCCACCTGATGCCGAACATGTTCCACTGGGACGGATGAATGGGAATGATTTTGAAAGCATCAGTGATGTCTGCTTTGGAGAGCCATGCTCCTTGGCCTGCGAATTTAATGAGCTTAATTGCATTGTCAACCGAGGCGTAGTGAAGGGAGAATGGTTCTGAGGGGATGAGGCTATTGACACTGGCAAAAGGGCCGGAGCGGGGTGCAGACAGATCATAAATTAGCCTTTTCTTCTCTGAGTACTTGCGAGTGGCTACTCCTATTGGGCTAGTGCGAAACACTGAGAATGGGGATGAGTGAAAAGGGCCGATGATGTACCCTTTGCTGAGTTCTTTCTCTATAAGCTGAGAAACAACTGCGGGTTCTTTAATGGCAGACTGTACGTTTTTTGCAACGAAAGTCACGGTGGAGGAAGAGAGGACGCCTACCCTGAAGCCTTGGGAAAGCCCTGAGAGTAGATAGTCTACAAACACGGGATCTGGGTGAGTAGAAAGGACGGCTGCTAAATGTGTAATGTTAATGGGAGTGGAGGGGTGGATGTTCAGAAGGTTTTCCCGCCAGGGGGTTTCTGAAGCAGGGCAGGGATCTTGGGATGGCCGGTGCGCCTGGGGCACACGGACCTCGGGTGCGAGTCCTTGCAGAAGCTGCAGATGTGGAGGAAAGAACAGCTTTGGTAATTGCAGACACTCTCATTGAAATTATTGCAGATCTGCCTGTCTTGTGAGGGAAAATGTAAGTAACTTGAAAGTTTGAAGTGAAAGTTTGATACAGCGTATTTTTGGTATATTCATCTTAATGTCCCCTGATATATAAGAAGTGTGTTTTTATATATTCATGTGTGTATGCATTGCAGGAGCCATAAGGCTGTATAGTAACTGCTCAATTATACTGGTGTTTGTGTTTTATATTGATTTCTCTGTTTTATTCTTTCATAAATGTGAGGACTAAAATTGCTCCAAGCATTGTGTGGTGCAGGTTTGCAGGACAGGAGACTAGATGGGGGAGGGGAGCAGAGAGAGAAGTCTGAAGAATGTGTGTGTGTGGAAGCTGCAGGAATACGAGCCAGATGTGTTTGTTTTGCTTCAAACTAAAAGACTGTTTCCGGATCATCTCGGCTGGCGCGCGCTGATACGCTACGAAAGCCCATCGTTTATATATGGGCCAATAGATGACCTGTATGGTTATGATTAATTTGATATTGATTGTCTGCCAATACCGGCCGATTCTTCTATTTCCCAGATAATACAGCTGCACCGTGTACACTAGGGTTGCAGTTGAATAGTCCAAAAATCAGCTCCTAATGTCTATCCCTATCGTCTATCCCTTGACCTCTGTGTGAAACGTCACGTGTGAAACGACTACAACATGGATGTTTAATAAGAACGAGGGACTACTGTAAACTCATCTAGAGACTCTGCACCGTGCTCTGATGCTGTTGTTTTATGTTTTATGAACGTGGACAACAGAGAAACATATTCTTCATGACCAAAGTTGGAATTGAAATAAAAAAGGAAAGTGAAACTTATGCTCGCCACCCTCTCCCTCTGGTACACAAGAATACAAATGATCCCAATACGTATGATTGTATGAAAAGATCTTAAAATCAATACAAATGTATTTATTATAAACGTTAGTCCTTAACACCTATCACTGTGTATATCACCATTCAAACATCTTTTAAAAGTTGAACAAACACAGCTTTATTTGATCATTTCAGTAAAAACTAACGTCATATTTCTCTTTTTGATTATAATACGGATGAACGTTCAAAACAAAGCACTTTACCGTTTTAAAAAGCTTAATAAGCACCGTAACTTTCATGATATCATTTCTCGGTTGTTTCCGTGAACGGCCGAATGTTGTGTGACGGCAAGTGCTGCGACTGCAAGGCATTGCAGGAAGTGGTGCGGTGTGGTGCAGTGCGCTGTGCAATGATCATCAGATCAAGGGGTGAAACCCGCCGCTGCTGCGTCTGTAAAGCCGTTGTGTGCTTGGGCAAGACACTTCACCTGAACTTGCTCCTGTGGGTATTGTCCACAGTGGTGACCATTGCCTGTATGATATGTGTAATGTGTATTTGTAAAGCGCTTTGAGCATCTGGAAAAGCGCTATAATAAATGTAAGGAATTATTATTATTATTATTGTGGGGCAGCATTTTCTCCTTTCCTTTCGTAAAGGGAGGTCCAGTGGTTCCTAAGCTAAAGGAGGTTATAAAGAAAGTTTGAAACCTCCTTTCCTATCATCTAGAGCAGGGGTTCCCAACCTTTTTCCCTGAGAGACCCCCCCAAATTACTCCTGTTCGAAGTTGCGCCCCCCCCCTCCCCACACACACACACACACACACACACACAAGGGGGGGAAACGGACAAGGCAACAGCGGTAATTCAAGTTTAAAAGTCTCAAAATGCTACAACTACTGTCACAACATTTCTAGAAAAAATTATGCATTTCTGTCTTTATGCCTTTATTAACTACTAACTTGAATTAATATTAAAATTAATTAATCAATTATTTTGTATACTTTATTGCAGGGATCACAAACTACATTTGTCGAAGGGCCAACATTTATCCAATAGACACTTTCGCGGGCCAGCAATTGTTATATATAGCCCAGAATTTTTAAGTTGTTGACTGGGGGGGGGGGGGGTGCTCAGGTACATTCAGAGTGCATAAAGCTTAGCAGACTCTTCCCGCTAACGAAGGATCACTTCGAGGCTACTGTCCCGCAGCTCCTGCTTCTCTGTTGGACTCTGTCGCAGCGGGGCTACTGCTGCGGAGCGCATAAAGCAGACTCTTCACAACGAAGGAACACTTCTTCTTCAGGGCAGGGAAGGCTACGCAGTATGCAGTCTACTGTCTATTGTGGGGGGCGAACGCACTAACGCCACTGTCATCCCCGTCGTGCGGGCCGGATTGATCACTGCTTTATTGTAATGTAGAGACAAGGCTTTTACAATCATGTGTAAAAAAAAAAAAACGTCTAAATATGATATTAGGCCTCAAATCATCTGAGGCCTGGCGCACCCCCTGCGATTTTTGGCGCCCCCCAGGTTGGGAACCACTGATCTAGAGAATTCGAACGGCACTTATCATGGCTGCCACTGACGTACTTCCGGGTCATTTCACTCCGTTAGGAAGGTTCCTAAGCTAAATGGACTATTCGACTTCAGCCTAGCTCTATTTGTTTTTGCCATTGTAATTCACCATAAGCAATTGTTGACTGTAACGTCTATGCCAACCAACTGTAATTTGTAATGTATTATAATTTAACGATCAAGTTCTGGCAACCACAGCAGCCCAAATGTTAACGTAAATGTCAAGTTTTCTTTTTACAGTGTACTTATATCTGTACATTTCTTTTCATTTTGCTTCAAGAAGGGGCTTCAACAGACAGAAATGCAGGCCAGATTGGGAAAGGCTGGACGCTACACAACGGGAAACATTATGGACATGAACAAGGAAAAACCAAAAACACTTTCTTTGTTGCCTTTTTCTTATCATATATAGTGTTACTGTTTTTGTTACCATTTAAATATTGAATTCTATTTATTACTTTTATTTTAAATCAAATGCACCGGTTTTAGATAATATATTTATTTTTGATGTATAGGTTGATTTGCAGGTTGGTTGTTATTTGTATGATTATTGTATTGTTACTGTGTATTTTATTATATTAACTAGCTATTTATTAAATTAAAATACTGTTATGAACACTATACAATGTCTTTATTTTGGTAGATACCAGATTACATGACACAATGAATCTTTGTAATATATGTATGTTCTCTTGTTTAAATAATCATACCAGTATTTAATGTATGCTGGTCACCTGGAATCCTGGTAAGCTTCCAGCATGATGTAATACAATTAATAAACATAAACTGGTGATAGATGGATAAACCAGCCATCCTGGCCAGCTAAAGTCTCCAAAACCCTTCTCCAGCCAACCATTACAGCCTACTGGCTGGTCAATTGACACCAGCCTGACCAGCTAAATTGATCTAAGCTGTTTTTTTTCAGCAGAGTTATTATTATTTATTTACTATTTATTGAAAATCTCTATGAATTATAGTCAAATGTATATACAAGTCTGTGTTCTGTTGCCTGAGCCAAGGGTGCCTGCTACATTACGATGTATTATTATTGATTTACTATTTATTGAGAATCTCTATGAATTAAAGTCAAATGTATACAGTCTGTGTTCTGTTGCCGCACCGGATCTCCTCCAAATCCAGGATCATCACCCCCCTAGTTCGCTCCCGTCTGTATCTCTACCGCTACTTGAATACTGTGGCTCAAACTGGTATGGTTCCACCACGTTAGACTCGCCCGCATGATCTGATTCCACCACACCGGCATCCTCTTCAATAAGATCCTCCTCTTCTTGAAAGTGCACCGAGTCTATTGACGACTCACTATCACTCGATTCTGTCTCCAGAGTCCGACATCAGCCATATAAGTAGTGTATTATTATAAGTGTTCTACTCGTGACGTGCGTGATGCCACTAACCGGGAAACTGTTTTGTTCGGAGCAGTCGTGTAACATCGGAAGTGAGCATGGAAATTTGTCTCTAGCTTTGTAAAAGTGTTTTGCATCTTGTTAATTTGTTTTTGTTAATGTTAAATTGTTTTTTCTTTGGTAAAAGTGTTTTGCTAATGTAATTTTGTTTTAGAAAATGTAAATTTGTTTTAGAAAATGTAAATGTATCTCAAGCTTTGTTAAAGTGTTTCACACTTTGTAATTGTCGATTGCCCTTCTCAGCCGCTATAAGATAGCTGCTATAATACAAAACAACAGGAAAACGTCTGCCTGCTCTCCACAATGATCAATAACAGCGAACGGATGTTCAAAGTATGGTACAAATAAACAGAATCACACAAAGCCTGGTTAGTGTTGCCTGACTTTATAAAGTGTGGTCACGTTCTAGTCACTTTGCTCAGCGCTGCTGCTTGTTACAACTTTAATTTGCCGTACTTAACATTAACTGTTATTGCTCAGGTTAATCTCGCCCCCTCCAACGTAAGCGGAAAGTACTGGTTCTTGGTTCTTGCCAGGCAGCCGAGTGGGGTCAGCTAAACACCGGTTTTCGGTGCTTGGAGCCGGCTCCGCTGCGGTGGACACAGGAAGAACCAGAGCTAATCAGGCTTTAGCCCGGAACCGGCTCTGGAACCGGTTTGGTGGAAAAGGGGCATAAGTATCCCCTTTGTCCCTATATGTTGCGTATCCGCTCTGGGCTTTGGTCTTTGTACCAGGTCTCCCCCCTTTCCCTGAGGGCTCATCTATCTGTGTCAACAGCAGTGGCGGCTGGTGCATTTTTCTCCAGGGGGGCCCCACCAAAATGTAAGCAAACTAATACACAAACTCAAAACATATGTCATATTACAACGCAGGGCTAGCTCAAAGGCACACAGCACTTGATACAGTCTATTATTTTAGTGCCTGTTTTTGTCAACCTCCTTATTATGCTTACTGATCCCTATCCTGTAGCCCTCATTGGACAGCAGTGTTTACTTTCCTAAACATGGCTAGTCGCATAGCATCATCCATGTGGACTCTAGTTTGTTCATGCTTTTTTATTTTTTTATGATATGTGTGTACTATTCTCTTTGTGTTGTACTGTCTCAGTGTGAACATAGATTAAACAGCCAGTCAAACTATTTTGAGAGCCAGGGAATGAGCAGCCATGCTCCTTTATTTACTTATTTGCAGTACACTGACATTCAAACCGAGTGAAACTATAAAAAACGCATATGCTAGCGCGAGTGCTAACGCATTTTCTCATTGTGTTTAAACATCTCCAATGTCATCACATAAATACACACAATACATGTTACTAATCCTTACACTACAGTCATTGCTTTCTGACGGACTTGACCCTTTTATTCTTCAGGTTGCATCGGGAAAATGAGTAGATCTACTGGCATGCTATTCAGTTCATTTTCTCCTACTTCCTGTAACCGGTTTTCCTGTTTAACTTAAAGCGTCAAAATAAAGGTCCTATAACAACAATGAACAATGTGAAACCTTCATTAAACATTACAGCTATGACTTAAGGGGGCAGAACAATGTGCTTTAAGTCACTCACATCTCTGGATCCATGCTGGGTCTTGTCCATAGACTGGTCAGGGGCCTCATTTATAAACATGGTGTACGTTCAAAAGATGGCGTACGCCAATTTCTAAACAATCTTTGCGATTTATAAAAAACAAACTTGACGGTCCTCCACTGACACTCTGATCCATGCGTACGCACGAAAACGGGAGAGATGAGAAACTGCGACACCGTTGGCAGAAGGAAGAATGGAGAGAAATATGTGAAAATAATACCATAAATAAAATGTTACCTCTCATTTATCATATATGAAGAATTAATTTGCAAAAATTGATTAAAGCCAATCTTAAAATGATTAAACAAACGCCTGTTTGAGACTCCTCAGTGCACACACAAACATAACTTAGAAATAAAGTTATGAATAAATACGGATATGTTATTGAAAACCACCTCGAATATGTTGTCTTAATGTTAGGAAATGTATTGTCATCAATTATACGGTAAACAGAAGGATCGAAGTACGTCTAAACTGTTTAGCATACGAGCATGGTTTTATATACTATCATGTTTAATCATGTTTTATGCCGTTTGCCAAGACTTGATAAGTCGTTCATAAAACACAGGAGGTATGGAAACTAAGAACACCATATATTTGGTCAATTGTGCTGCTGATATAACAACACATTTGTTTTATTTCCTTTAACTGGTGGATATAGTTGCTGTGGTGGGGTTAAGATGCACAGGCTGCAGTGGAGACGCTGCGCACAGCTGATTGACAGCTGGGACATGAACCACAAAATAAAATAAAATAATTCAGATCCAGTCGTCATGACTCCACTCCAGAGGGATTCCCCGATAATTTTTCTCATCAAGGGGGTGTCTCCTGTCCCCGGTACAAACACACTGACACACTGCCTGAGGACAACCCAGTCTCACGGCATTTCGTGTTATAGTCACGAAATTAATTTAATCTATTGATTCGTGTTCACCAACACGATTTTCGCATTTTTTTCGTGTCACACAGAACGATTTTAAAAGCAATGTATTTCTATTGGTAGTATGTTTCGTGCCTGCGCCACGTCTTTTTGTCCGGACGACCAGAAGCTGTGTGGTTCATAAAAACATTTTCTTACTCAATATCTTACCCTAAGCCTAACCCTATCCCTTTTATTTTAAATAGTATAATGTCAGAGTTTTTTTGCCGTCCGCGAGGAAAATAAATGGGGCAAAGAGCCTCAGAATACTGAAATCTGTATTTTTTGTCATATTTTTTTCCTTCTAATTTGTTATTATTTGGTGCAGGCACGAAACATACTACCGATAGAAAAACATTGCTTATAAACAGGGCTGCACATGCGCACCTCCGCCAAAAAAAGAGCACCGGGTCATTTGAAAAAAGGCGCATTTGCGTACCAACATTGAGAGAGAGAGAGGAGAGAGAGAAGAGAGAGGAGAGAGAGAAGGGAGAAGAGAAAAGAGAGAAGAGAAAAGAGAGGAGAGAGAAGAGAGGAGAGAGAGAAAGATATTTGCGAGTTGCATATGAACTCCGGGCCGGCCCGTAGCTCTGGTGTTATAGATCTTCGCCTAGGGCTCCAGATCTGGGGAGGCGCTGCGCTGGCAGCTCTGGGAGGGAAAAAAACATTTTTGACCGTTGGGGCTCATCCTAATTTTCGGCCTTGATGTAACAATATTCATAATTAAGTAAATGTAACACCCTTTTCATCCCGGTTACACGTTTCATCAAATCAAGGATGCTGGTGCAACAACGTCAAATTTCATCAGGCACTGGAAAACTCACCCGGAGAGGTCAGTCACATTAAAGCATATGGACGGTTAGCAAACATGTTTAGCTCAGCATCAGCTATGTAATGTTAACTTAGCTTGCTACTAGCTTTGTAACTGAATATTTGGAAAGATGAGTGAATGTTTGCTTGTCACACTTGTTTGCGTTGAGTGGCGTTGACATTAACTCTTGACATGACATAAAAAAGGTCGGTAACGTTAATCATCACTGGCTAACGTTAAACGTAGAAAAATACATAGTTACATACATAAATACATCTGTCGGTTTATAGGCAGGTTACAGGTTTATTGTTGACCACGTAACGTTAATGTTACAGGTTTATCAGGTTACCATTACACTGGGTTTGAGTGAGAGGATAGAGGAATATGTTTATAGTAGACTTAAAAGATGTAATTAGAGACCCAGTGTAATTAAACAATACGGTTGCAGAGGTCAAATTTTAACATTTTTGTCCACTGGCCAAATGGCTAGCCTAGTGAATGTTGAAATTTTACCAGCCACTCAATAGATTGCCATTGTTATTTGTGGCTGGTGCGTGCAACATACAGTACCAGCCACTTGCATCATTTACCAGCATTTGGCTGGTAAATGATGTTAATGGTAGATATCTCTTTTGGAACAGGTCATGTTTTAATATCACCAGTTCAGTATATTTCAGATAATATTGCAGCAATAGTTTTTTAGTTGCAAATGACACAGAACAAATGTTTACTTTTAAGTACTTTTAACACAGTTTCCCTGCGGGGGATAAATAAAGTATTTGTGATACTGATTTCTGATTCTGAAGTGTTTTGCTTATAAGTTGTTTGCATTTAGCTAAAGTGTGATGTTTTTCCTCATATTGCATTGCAATAGCCTGTTTAAAGTGATCATATAACAAACAACTAATCAGTACTGATACTGTATGCTAATAGATATAGGAGTGATAATAATACAGTAAATGCTTTGAATTTCTTAGATATAGCTGTGCAGTATTCTTAACAGACTGGATAGCAGCAGACAATAGAAGGCTTATTACAACCAGAAGAGACATGAGACTTTTATTTTTTAGAGACTTGAGACTTGACTTGGACTCGTGACCAAAGACTTGAGACTTGATCAAGTCTCACCCCACAAAGACTTGAGACTTGACTTGGACTTGTGACCAAAGACTTGAGACTTGACTTGGACTTGCAAAAAAAGACTTGTGAACATCTCTGGGCAGTGATGACAGCTTGTAGGATTACTGGTCGTGCTAATGTTGTCTTGTGTTCACCTCTGCATTTGTGTTCAGCGCGTGTGTCTGGCAAATAAGGTCAAGACCCCCTCAAAAGTTACGGTTTATTTCATTTTAAGGATGAGCACCAAGCAACATCTCCAGGTGCTCCTTTGAGAACCAGGGCAAAAAAGTTATGTGCACCCCTGCTTATAAAATCGTTCTGTGTCAGAATACTGAAATCGGTATTTTTTTTTATCTGTTTTTCCTTCTAATTTGTTATTATTTACATAGCTTTTAAAATCGTTCTGTGTGACACGAAAAAAATTGCGAAATCGTGTTGGTGAACACGAATCAATAGATTCATTTTGTGACTATAACATGAAATGCCGTGAGACTGTTGCTGAGGAAGGTTATGTGTATTTTGTCATTAACTTTTTTCGGACCACATATTTATTTATTTTGGTGACGATCCGACCTCCATGCTGCTACTCTGGTTCAAACTGCATCCACGAAACAATATGATTTGTCTCCACCTACCTAAAATAACCAAAATCTGACACGGTGTGAGATGTCTTTTTTAGCTGTTCTGTCGTCATTTCCTGCGATCTTCTTCATAAAGTCAGTCAAAATGAATGAATGAATGGGCGTTTCCCTGACTATTTATAGGCAAATATGGGCGTTACGTGATGCCCGCAAAAGCGGCACCGCATTTCGAGTTGATTGTGATTTATAAAGGGAACCTGCACTTTCCTCGCTGGTACGCAATGTTTGGTGAATCGGAAAATGTCTGTACCTATTTTTTGGATTTCTACTACGTAAGCAACCTTCTCACGTGAATCCTACGCATGGCGTTATAAATGAGGCCCCTGGTGATTTCAAAGAAAGCTCTCTGGGAAATGTTGACTTACTGTTCGACATGATGCTAGAAGCTACCTCACAGTACACAGTTGATCCGGAGTCCTGTCAGTTAAAGTGTTTAATAGTTAGCTTAGCTAAGCATCAACCTAGCACTGACATATATGGATGTTATGTGACAGTATTTCTGAGAAAAAGTCAGCTGAAATGGTGGCATAGTTGGCACTGCGTGTCAACAGCATGTTTGAACGTATTTGCAGCAGTAAATGTGGCTGTTTGGCCACTGACGTTGCCATAACAACACCTGAATTTAAATGTGCAACCTCTTTTTATGACAGAGTTTTGCAAGAAATTATAATTCTTCTGAATGATATTCCTATTGACAGCTAGTTTCTATGTGAACATTATGAGATGGACAGCCAGAGAGAATAAAGGAAAAACAGTTATGAAATACTATATGACAAAACAAGAATACAGTTTAAGTGATTTGTAAAATATCCATAAAGAAAAATCTGTTCACAGTTCTGTTTCATATGGGTGTTGAGAGATGTATCCATAGATCTCTTAATTTTGCTCTCAAAGTGCACCAGATTGATGCTTTTAACTTCAATATTTAAAAATATATATTTTTCCGGACCTCTAGGGGGGTCAGGGGAGCATGCCCCCGGACCCCCCTAGAGAAGGTTAGGTCCACGGTGTTTACATGGTTATTTATACAATATGTGTGCTTATGCTAACATCATAAGACAAAAGTTGGTTCCGTGTTGTGTGTAGTGAAGGGGGGGGGCCCTAAGCCAAAGCTCGCTTAGGGCCCCCATAAGTCTAGGGCCGGCCCTGGGAACAATACCCCCAACCTGTTGTTCCATGATTGAATTATGTAACCCAGTGTATTAATAAGTGATCGCTACAAATGTTACATTTGTCTCAGACGGACTTCACAGTTTGTACAGAATATCAGTATGACAATACGACACCCTCTGTCCTTAGACCCTCACATCGTACAAGGAAAAACTTCCAGAGAAACCCCACAGTTTAAAGGGGGAAATGGGAGAAACCTCAGGGAGAGCAACAGAGGAGGGATAATACATTTACAGCATAGGTAAATCAAATGTTTGGAAATGCATGTGTCTATAATAATAAGATGAATCCACGAGGATGTCAACAATCCTGTGGGAGCCATCAGGGAGCTCTATTTAACTCCAGTCGACTTTCTGCGGCTTTGCTCCGTGGTGAAACG